AGTGAGCAGCATGCTGACAGGCATGGCATACAACTGTCATGGAAAGCCTATCCTTCATGACGGGCAAGTGTATATGCATCATGACTCGCTCGAGCTAGTGAGCAGGAATGGCTGGCTGTACACAAATGCCAAGCTGGAAAAGCTAGACTATTGCCGTAGTCACCGGAATGAGTGCCACACACACACAGTATAGGGATAAACATGAATCATCAGTTCTGTAATCCATGTCGTAAACAATATATATATTTTTTTTTTTTTCTTTTTTTTCTTTTTTTCTTTTTCAGACACTGCACTCTCCTTATAATTTTTAATGTTTGAAACAAATAAATGTTCTAGACATCAAAGGCCATATAGCACTATGGTAAAGTATTGTGTTGGAAAGGGCAAAGAAAAGTTAAGGACTATGATAAAATGTGTTAGATATCAAAGATTTGAGAACATTATAGGATAATGTAATAGTGAAAAGGGAAAAGACTCTTCTTATAGAATATAATATTAGGCCCTGTACTTTGAACTTAGCCTATGGTATTTTGCCGCAAGATCTATTTAACAGTAAAATTGGGTCTGGGAAATTTTATTCCATTAGATTTAATCATTTTAAATAAATATTTTCCTTGTTGATGAAAATATTATGAAGAAATTAAGGTACAGGTCAATAAAATTTTTAAAGATTTTTAAAATTTACTTTGTTCTAAGAAAACATTAAAGTAGCTTTACAATAGTTATCTTCTTGTATGACAAAAGAGCTTAGCAACTAGAAATTCACTTTTGGAACTTGGAAACAGAAATATGCAAAGCTCTTCACAATGATTTGAACTCAAAAAAATCCACATATATCTATTTACAGCTACAATCTTTCCTGTCTTTGATAACAAGCACAAAAAGCGTAAGATTGATATAAAATAAAATAAAAAGGTGTTGAGCACTCCGTAACATAGTATTGTCAGCATCCGTATTTTAAAATGATAATATTCTATTAACTGACACCTTAGCTTTTTTTCTATTAAATACCATAAGCAGGAAAAAGGCAATATTACTAGTATTTTAGTGAGGGCTTTTTATTTATTTGTTTTAACAAAGGGAGACATCCATTCACAAGGTGATTATCTATTAACCATCAAATTACCAGAGAAATACACTTCTACATTCAGAATTGCCTCACGTGTAACAAGACAAATGAAATAAAAAATCACTTCTGCTTTTTGCTGAACTTCAGCTACGAAGTTAAAAGAAAAAGTGTTCAACTAGAAAAGTTTCTGCAAGTTCAGCTCATTCACAATAAAAGGCAATTGTGTGACATGTCGGACATTGGTAAGCATCATCTTAACTGCCACCAGTATTCTCTCTTTGTTCATCAGATTAATAATCTCTCTTCTCCAGCATACAGTATAAAAGTAGTTGATCTTTGTGTAGCATATGAGCTTGCAGCTTAACTTCAAACTGGACACACGTCGGTGTAGTGAGTGCTAGGCCTAAAAATGTCTCACTAAAGCAAGGATAATTATGGATGATGCACAATAACAAAATCGGTTGTTCAATCATTTGTGTATCCTATATCCCTAAGCATCTTAGTTTGTTAACTAGTGTCAAGAAAAGATGCCTTTCTCTACAAGTCCTTCCTAAAGTATGGTGTCACTTAAACTTGCTTACATCCTTTTAGTTTTAGCAGCTCTTAAGTACAGTTTTCATTATGATATGAAAATTAAGATAAAAGAAAAGCCATTGATGCAATGACTCCAGCTGCATTCAAGCCTGTAGTGTTCTAACAATTTGAACAAGCTTTTTTTTTTTTTTTTTTTTTTTTTCTTTCTTTTTTTCTCCCTTCTGATTTTGAGTGACATTTTATGTTCACAAAAGTAGGTTTCTGGTAAAATACGTGGTAATTTTCAAATAAGTATTACTAATCACACAGGGTCTTGGGAAAAAATGGAAAATCTGCACTTATTCATGCATCATATTTAAAATTTTGCCATAGATGGGTATAGCTGTTTGAAAAAGTTGAGACATCATAAAACAATTTTTTATTCTCTATATTCATATGACTTAAACAGTCAACTTGACTTTATTTCATTCCCACATTTATCCAAACATATTTTCCCCCCATACATAACACTCAGTAAACAAACACCTTTGATCATCTTCCATTCCTTTATCATAAAACGAAGTAAATCTGCTGCTTAACTAGTGTTGCAGCCCTCTACAAGTTGCATGGGGAACAAGGGTTAAAGACTTAAAAACAAACCAAAATGCCTAATTTTCATCTACGTAATTTTCATCTTATTTTTTATTTATTTATTTATTTTTTATAATTTAAACACATAACCATTCTGAGGACTTGAAATCATCCAAGGCTTACATTGGTAGTACAGCTGAATGTTGATAACTGGGACTTTTCAACTATATTACTTTGGAAAGTATTAGGGGCAACATTTTATTACTGTATTGACATACCTATTAATAGCACCTTGTTTTACCTTATTGATGGGTCCTGTGAACTAATAAAAGTAAATGGTTTTTAATATCAAACTCCAATGGTGTTAAAGAATAGTATACTTTATGAATCATACTATCTGTACAATAAAAGAAAAGAAAAACAAGGTTTTAAAAATCTGGACATTATGTATAGAATGTTCAAAATACAGTAATAATTCCTATGCTAAAGAGTTGCATTTTTGGATTTAATTAATAAGAATTTATTTTCCTCCTAATAAATAATTTCAATATTTCAAACTTCATCCAAGTACACATAAAAGCATAAAAGTTTTTTTAGTTTCTTGTTTTTTTTGTATTTTTTTTTAAGGACAGTGTTCTGTAATATTTTACATTACATTATATGGTACTGTGTACTGCTGTATGTTTACAGTATGTTAATTCAGTTCTTTGCAAATGCAGAAAATAAGCGAGCTCTCCACAACAATCTCATGATAGCCAAAAGTATGACTGTCCTTTGTAATTTAAGAAAAACATTGCTTTATGAGCAACAAAAACAGAAATGTGGAGGCACTTCTGTTTTCTCCGTCTACCACATTATTTCTACTTTCTGATACTACCTGCATCAGTTAAACTTCAGACACTCAAGCACAGTGTAATTTACCTTGGAATGAAGACAATCAACCTTTGCTTCATAGTACACACATTTTAATATAGCTTTCAAATGCAAGTTGTGACCAACTAATTCATACACACAAAACATTACCGTTTAATAAATAAAAAGATATATATGCACACACATATATACATATACATATACATATATGCATACAAAAGCATTTACATACATATATATACACACACTTATGCGTATATATACATATACAAATAAACATATGCATATACCGTACATGTACATAAATATATTCCAGACAAAGCTCAAAACAGATTGGCCACACAGATGATGTTAAAATGAACCTGAAAATATAGTGAAGTAAAGAAAAATTCTTACCATTAAATTCATCTCTTTTAATCAGCAGCCCTTACAATATGAAACATACTGACTGCTATTACACACAAACGTTGTTATGCTCATATGCTTTTCCAATTTTAGCAGTGTATTCCAATTCTAACATTTCTGTTTACTTGTGTATATATATACATACACATACATACATATATACATGTATGTACTTGGGTGTGTATATATGTATATATATCTGTATGTATGTGCATAAGAATTTTCTTTCTTGAGTAAACTATGTTGTCAACCCACTTGAGCTGATATGGTGTTCTAAGCATTAGTTCAGGGATGGTTCACAAAAGTCTGAAGATGTAGGTGTCTATGACCCATTTAACAAAATTCAACTGCACACATAAAAGGCTTGCAAGTGAGGATGTACTTCTCGCTTGCAAATTATCTAGAGATTTACACATTTTTATATCGAATATCCTGGGCTGTGATGAGCTAGTCATGCAAGTGAGTAATGAAGATGGACCCTAAATGCTTAAAATATATCATGGTTTAATAAATTGGGAATAAACATGCAGATGGATGCTTTTATGCCTCTTTTTTCCCAACACAGGAGAATAAATTCTCCCTCTCTCTCTCATGCAATTCAGAGATTCTGACTCACTATATCTTGCACTCGGTGGTACAAGGGCACAAATTTACAGGTTGCACATACAACACTGGGTGAGGTGGTATCTGGTTAATAAACCTACTGATGGGACTCTGGCAATTAGGGAGAAAAAAATGAAACCTT